TAAAATACGACTAGAAATTTAACATTTTAATGTACAAATTGCGAAACAGCCTCACGTCGCGAAGAAGCGGGTAAGCGATATGCAAACATTGTTACGTAATACCAGGATATGTAGATGACAAGACACGAAATTATCCGCAAGTGAAAGGAAATATAAAATGTACCTGTATACAGTGCCTTTTTTGATAAATTTTTCGTTCATGAGTTAAAAAAAGCAACAAATGGGTAGTTTCTATTTTTTTTTTATAGGATAAGGGTGACAAACGAGTACACAGTCCACCTGATGGTAAGTGGTTGCTGCGGCCCATAGACATCTACATCTATCCTCTATTACAAATCAAAATGTAGATGCGTTGTCACCCGTGAGGACTAAGATGGAATGCCTCATTTCCAGTAAAAAGGGCTTCCGGCCACCTGCACTCACCAAGCGAAACGCAGAGGTAAACCTACCTCTACTTCACGCTGGTTGTCTGTGAGGTCGTGGTACCACCCCCATCCGTGCGACAGCAAAAACGGCCGCGTGGCTCTACCACTGTTACTACTATCTCTACTACTTCGTACTGTACTACTATTTCGTTTGTTACTAAAAATTGCTGGCCCAATTCGATCTTTAAAAAGCTTTTTGTACTAGATGGAGTATGACTGGTTTTGTGGTAATTAAATGTTTTGTATATAATAACATATTTAAACTCTTAAGTGATTTTCATTCTGTAACACGTCCCAGCAAACTTATTCTTCGCCTCCCTAGAGTGATACTTTCTTTTTTCAGATTTCACTAACAGATATTGAAATAAGAATATTAATTAAACCCATTAAACTTAATATGTTGCATGACCTGTTGCTGTATTTTAATAAGTAAAATGAAGCTTTGCTCCCAAACACTATAGTAGTTAAATGTGCTTAGCTAAGAGTGTATAAAACACTACGTTTAGTGCGGAGTAGAAGCTTTCTACGAGTACCGTATTGGTAGTGTATTACCAGTAGTTTCACGTACGAACGAAAAGTAGCAGGGGAAATGATTATAATCATCATTATCATTATTCCAAATCCAAATCGCTCTCTAAAGCGCTTTAATTACATTTAAAAGTGTTTACTTTTAACATGCAATATCTTACACAATGGTAAAGTAGTTAAAAAAACATGTTGGATAAACACTTGTTTAAATATTTAAACATGTTCGTTAAAGCTTCGACTATTTGTTGCACCATGATATATTTATATTGGAACGGCGGGCTCTTCCTTTTCCACAAACCAAATCTAATCAATTCTGGTTATTTTGTGAACATAGGTTAATTTACATCGAGATATATATCGAGATCTGTAAATTAACCTATGAATGCCCCCATAAATGCGCCCAAGAATGCCGCCCTTAATATTTTTTCATAATATTATTCATTAGTGTTTTTAAAAATTTATTAACTTGTAAGGCCGTATTGTTGCTAGTTTTGGTCATAATCTCCAATTTTTACAATATTTTGAGATGTACTGCAAAATAAAACAAAAAACTTTTATTGAAAAATTAGGCCCTTCAAAATAAAATAGCAATTACTTTTTTGTTTTATTGTTTTTAAATCTTCAATCATTGCACTATTTTTCAAGCTAATGGGCATCAAGGATGTAGTACTTTTTTTTAACACCACAGTATCCTAAACTTGGATGAAAAATCTTGTCGCGTAGAAATTTGCACTTTATTATTTATAAAGAAATTGTTCATGTTGTTGGGAAATTGCAATAAACGTGCAATTACACATATAGTCAGAAATAATATTCAATAAAAAATACGTTTTCGCTATTTAAATTGAATGGCATAAATTATACGTATTAAGGTGATACATTTTCCATAAAATCATGAAAATCAAAAAATCTTGAAACGGTAACATTTTCATAAAATTTTTTTTTGCTGTTCTCATAGGGCACGATCTCATCTCTCGCCACATTTCGCTTGGACTACTATTAACAGGACACTCTGTATACATAATCTATATTAATATTATAAAGAGGTAAAGTTTGTTTGTAGGAAGTAATCTCTGGAACTACTGAACCGATTTTAAAAATTCTTCCACCAATAGAAACCTACATTATTCCTGAGTGAAATGATATTTGATTGTAATTGATAATATTTTTTAATGTGAAATAACAATTTTGTCAATCAATTCCGAAAATAAATCCTAAACACTGAGTACTAAGAACCACACACGATAATTTCATCACAAGTAAAATGTTTGACGCCCAGCAAATTGGGCACGGGTCAGCTAGTAAAATATAAAGTTGATTCTCGTGTCCCGCCAGTAGACATATGAAATTACTACCGATTAATCATGCATTGAAAGTTATTTTCGATAACGACTTTGATGCAATGCAGACGTATTACGGAATTTGTGATTTATAATATAAAATTGTAATTTTATAATACAACAAAATCATATTATTATCATATATTTTTACTCTTCTGATGCCATGTTCTGAGACGTGGTAGCTCATGGGGTAAACAATAAGGAAAACTTAAAGATGTACGTACACATACCTCATAACATTTTGTTTTCTACTTTTTTTTTTAAATACGTTTCTTCGCCATTAGTAATTTCTTACATGTACATGAAAGTGGAATTAAACAATGATTATAAATGAAATGTTCCATGAATGCCACACAGAACAAAATGAAGTTGCTTTGTTGTTATTAAAAGAGAAAGTCGTGTTTATCATTCAAAACAATTTATGAAACCGTTAAAACTTCGATCCACAGAAAACTCTAATGAATGCTTTTCAAAGATACAAAAGTTTATTAAAATTAAGCAGGGAAAAAAATATACGACATCTGCATCTACACAAACACGAGAAAAGTAACTAGATATTTCTGCAGTCCTGTTTTCCCTTTTTTTAATTACAGTTCGGTTGTACGGTTAGTACCTAAGTAGTGCAACTTCATTTGTAAATAATTTTATGGGCTGGATAACTTTAACTGGGGGAATTCTCTGATAGCCTTTTAACGATATAATATAGTTTAAGTCTTTAATAAGTATTTTTGTCGTTATCATGTTAATCGGAACACAATACAATACATATGGACAAATAATTATCCAATATGCACATTTTTATAAGGTTTAATCGCTTTCATATCTAAGTAGAACAATTATTTCTACACTGAGTGACATAAATTAGAATACGATTAAATTATTTGCGTCTTGTATATAAAGCCTCTTTGTGTTGTTCACTCCATTGACTGCAAATTGAAGAAGAGATTAATTAAACAAAGATAATAGTTAATTGTAAAGCTTGCACAATACAAATTATTAGCAGTTGTAATACTTGGTTACATAAAAACTGGTGATTGACTACGCATTTTATTTATCGAGTAAATTATTATTAAATGTTGCTGCCTTTTCAATGAGATTGCAAAAATAATATTGGTTACCATTTTATATATTGCCTTTATTTTAAACTCGTAAATCTCTGTCGACGGCAATATTGTAATGTAGCACAGTAATTCCTTTGCACTGAGTATTAAAACATATTATGTTTTATTTTTTGGTTGCTTCCTTACTTTCATAAATTAATTTGATACAACATTTCAAAAGCAATATGGAAAATGAAACCTTTAACAAAAATTAAAAGACTTCACAAAGCTTTAACGAATCAAATAATTTCCACATAGTAACTTCCGAAGTAGGTCCGAGTAGTATGGAAGTAGAAACGTCGGGAATTAATAAAAATAAGTTAATTAAACGCGATAGTATCCGTAAATGTAGTTTATTCAATTCAGAAGTAGGTTTTATGAGGGTATAATATGCTCTAAGGTGTTTAAACATATTGTTTAAGAATAAATAACCTATTTAAAAAAAACACTTATATAAGAGTCTTCGATCCGTAAAAAATTAAAACGTTTATTAAAATTAGTCTAAAGAGGAATAATAATCACCACTATGTGTAAATATTTTTTTTTATAATATTAGATACTCTAGGAATTTCTACTGTACCGTGGAGGCGTTTAACATACTACATACATCATGCATACAATAATTGCATGTGGACAAAGACCAGACATTTTCTTGTTCCATGCTGGATTCAAACCTGCGGCAATCCAAAGCGGTCGAATGCGGAAATAAAATGAAATTTAAGATTATCGCTAATATAATCTTAATAGATCGCTAATTTGTGGTAGACATATTCCTAGGGTCCATACCTATGAACATTTTATAATGCACAATGGACGCACCAAAACTGTACTTCCGGACAAAGGCCTATGTAATAGTGTTATTCTACAGGCCGATTTATCTGATGGTCCAGTCACATTGCCAAAATATATGCACAAACTGCGTCCACACACTCGTTAAACATAACAAACGAACGCTGCATGCGGATGATATTACTGTTTATATGACATTATATTACACCGAATTCCTACAAATAAAGAACCTGGCACAAGCATGCTTTTTAAAATATAATCTTTAAAAAAAAACTAAATTCGTCATAAGATTAGTTAATTAGTAACACAAATATTTACATAACATAATATACAATATTTTATTATATACAATATTGAAAACTATAGAATAAAAAAACTAAAACTAGTAATTTAATTATCAAACAGTCCTACTCGCCGCGGTATCGTGCAAGAATGCTGGCTGCGTTTTCCCGCTGAATGGCTATACTTAGCCTTTGAGCGAGAAAAGAACCAGCACTCTTATCACCAGCAGCAACGACCAGCCGCGGATGGAGTTCCTTTAGGAACTTCACCGCACGTGGTCCCTACGGACCGATAGTCTCTACAGCAAATGGCGCAAATATGTAGTCATCCCTCAGAGACTCATATTTGCGCCACTTACTTAGTCCAGCTGCCTCTGATGCCACCCTGGCTCTAAACGAGATACCTCTGAGATGAGAGGCTGTTGAAGTGTCTTCACAAGTAGCATCTCAAGATTAGTCCATCGTTCGTTATTAAATTTTGTGTTAAATATAAGACATCCTGCAAATTAAATAATTTGTTACTGTCTATTGTTTCAGTTATGACCGCGATCAGCCGTTCACTTTCCAAATCGGTGTCGGACAGGTGATCAAGGGCTGGGACCAAGGATTGCTGGACATGTGTGTCGGTGAGTTATTTTTTATAGATTACGTGTGACAAGCAAGCTGTCACACACTGTCCATAGACATCTGCATCCCACCTCAATTAAGAATTAAAATTTTCGAGGTCTATGACAGAAAACCTCGTTTGTTCCACTTCATTAATTGAGCTTTATATGTATATTGTATGATATATAAATGAAAGTAATTTAGTTAGTAATTATTTTTAAATATTTATTTTATAAAAATCAGAGAATAATAGAAAATGTTAAATACAATTTGGAAACACTTCAATTAAGTCCTCGTTCGTGATTTATGCTATGCTTCCAATGTTTTCATTGGTAAATTTTAACGCGTTGCAAAAGGATAATGAGGCCTTGTTTGCGATATTGACTTTTTTGCGTGTAAGCTTTAAAACAATACGTAAAAAAAAGTATATTACTACCTGTAGGTATTGAGGATTCTATTTCCTTTATTATTTGTACATATTATCTCAAACCCGGCTGGCTTTCATTTGTATTCTGATCCGTCTGTTGTGGTGGCTATGTTTTTGTTAGCTATATTCCTTTGTTCTGTATGTTTTGAAATTAAATTATTTAATTTTCGGTTTAATAATTATTCTACTTGCTAATTAGTCTTTTACACTAACTAAATTCATTTCGTTTAAGAATAAGGGTTAAGACTTGACTCAAGTCATGGCTATGTTATGGTGACCTAATTATAAATATAATTATTAATAATATGTAGGTAAAGGTGAAACAAAGATAGAGAAAATTATCGGACATATATTCGTACAACCAGCCCGATCAGCTGGGAGTTTCGAAAACCTGTTAACGTATGAAATATATTTATTACAGTATGCGCTGAGAATTTATTGAAGAAGTATTATTATATACGAAATTCATTATCCATTATCTCGATCACGTATGCATCTGTATGTGAAAGAAATGGTACCTACAACATGTAATAAGTTATAGCTCAAATGATATGGGATAAAATGAAAAATAAATAATGGTTAACCAAATATAAAAGTATAAAATAAATGAAGTCTCGCTGTGTATTGGCGGTGTAAGAGAGTCCTCTATCCCGTTCCATCCCGTGGGTGTCGTAGAGGCGACAAAGGGAAATGAAGCTGGAACTGGAACGCTCGCCAAGCGTGGTCACTTTGGTAAATATCCCCCCTATGAGCCGATCTATGGGACGGCCGTATACAGCAGTTGCTTATAGGTTATAATGCATAAAATAAAGTTTAAAGAATAAAGAATGGAACGCAAATATTAAATAAAAATAATTAGAGTTCTTATAAAAGTAAAACCGACTTCAAAAACCAATGTTAAATAATTTTCCTCCTCTGGACCCAGACGAGGAAAAGTCTTTTTTAACTCTTTTTTAACTCGTGTAATGTAAATGAAAAGAATACAATGCAATATGAATGTCCGGATCCGGACTAGACAAAGACTGACTACGATACGTGTAAGTAATAATGTACAGACAGTGTATCGAAAAAATTAAAGCCCCAACTTCAGTAGCTCTTATGTGTGTTAAATTATTTTTGTATTTGGAGTAGGTATTATTTTTTAAAATTTAATTATTTCACCCATTTGGATGGATTAAGGAATATCACACGCACTTACTTTCTTGAAATTGATATGGGACCACCCGCGAAGCGAATAATTAATAAAAAATAATAATAATATAATATAATAAAAAATAATAATAATATAATATAATACAAAATAATAATATTTAATAGTATTTGAGTGTCAGGAATCTGAGCCTACCTCTCCCTAAGAACTTGGTGTTCTCCAAGAACCCGCTTCCACCTGGTTTATCTCGAGAAGACTACCATAATAATAATAAAATAATAATGCCAATTTAATAAAAGAATCATGAAAATCGGTTGAGATCTTTCCGAGAAATCGGATAAATTTATATATCACCGATATATTTTATAGGTACATAAACCTCTTAGGCTAAAAATATTGTAAATAGTCGCGGATGTATATATAGATTTATTTATATTATGTACATACTAATTTTTCCTACATATTAACTTTAAAGTTTAACCAAAATTAAAGTCAAATATATAGTAAGACTTTATGAAAAGATATTTAATATTATTTTTAAGAAATTAGTACATTTTACTTTACTCAAACTATATTATAAAAACGATGTTTTATTGTTTTTATATTAACTGTCGGTGGAAGATGTAGTGCAGCAGTCCATACGACTGATTTATTTAATAGGAATAGTCTTATTAAATGCAGTCAACCAGACACATCAACACCAACGGGACGAAATTAGGTGATGGATTATCTTACGTCAATACCATTCTATTCTTTTCTATTCTATTCTATTCAACTCTATTCTATTGTATTCTTTTCTGAATGTTCTAGGCGAAAAGCGTAAATTGACCATTCCATCATCGCTGGGTTACGGCGAACGCGGAGCCGGCAACGTTATCCCTCCCCACGCCACCCTGCATTTCGAAGTCGAGCTGATCAACATTGGCGACTCACCACCAACCACCAACGTCTTCAAAGAAATCGACGCTGATGCTGATAACATGTTATCCCGCGAAGAAGTGAGTATAGAGTTAGCGTTTCAAGCAATGGACACAGATGGAGACAAAGAGCTATCGCGTGAAGAGGTCAGTCCCGGATAGTTTCTCTGGTGGAGGATGGATTATTATAGTGTCCATGAAAATATCGTTACTCTTCTAAATCTTATAAAGCCTCTAAAGCTTAACTTCCTTGTCAAATTTATTTCATTTCATATTATATATGGCGCTATCTCTTTCCATTTATAGTAGTTAATACCCTTTAATTCTTTCATAAATGACCTTTCTTTTCTTTTTTTGAGTAGATAATTACGTTTTCTATTTAAAGTAATTCAATTCCATGCTATTAAGGTATTTTTGTGTGAAATGAATATATAACTGTTCGTGTTGTTGTTCACATGCCTTCTAACATGCAAGAAGATAAAAAAACATATCTTTACTTATGCTATATAATAGCATGTTTTATTGTGTTTATTTTAGAACAGTTACCTTATATTAAATTAAAATAAAATAAGAGTTCCTGTACACATGTAAGTAAAATATTATATCCGTCATTTAGTCATATATCCGTAATTAAGCTACAAAACTTTGTTTTTATGATTTTGTTAATATCTCATGATATTAACTACATAGAGAAAGATTTTATATTCACCAGGTTTTATATTACTATAGATATTACGAAATTTACTCCAGTTATCAGTTGACCTACATTAAACCTGCTTTGATTCCCGTGATATTGCAGGAATTTCATTGTGTTAATGTGGCTTAATAAATTCAAGTTGCAATTTATTTGTTGTACAATATTTTCCAAATATGTAATATCAACAATGTACATACGAACTGTTGCAATCCAATCGATTTAAAACTCACCTTTTATTTGCCACAATACAGTCATTATGGCAGAATACCTGAATGACTTTACCACTATACTCAACGACCTCAATAGTGTTTTCCAACCGAAAAAAATCATGTCTAACGCCCATATATACCGGTCTGTACCGGTATGAATATGTGCATATCGCTTGAAGTTGTTGACGAGTATGTTTATGGGTCATAATGTCTGATTAGGCAATTCAAGCTATCCAAGTCCAACTACAACAGTTGAATTTATATTATTTCGTCAGATGACTTAGTATTACATATTAGGTCATCTGACGAATCTAACTCGACTGGGCCCGTTTTCGGGAATTTGCGATAAAACTTGTAGGTACGTCCTCAAAAATTTTAACAAAAGTGTACAAACAGTGCGTGTTGCCAGTGATGACATCTTGCAAGCTGTATAAAAAGCTCAAAGTCACTCAGCAAACTATGGAAAAGGCATTATATAATGCGAAGAGGAAGTAAGGTTCTCTAGTGCCAGCTTCATACTCACAAGTGCAGTATTGGGCAACCCACTAGATGAAGTAAAGACCTCATGAAACATTCAGAGTGCCGATGTATGCAGGTGGTTCAGGACCATACTTTGTGGCAAACTACGTGAGAAGTGTATGTTCGACAGTGGACTAGTGATGGACTGTATGAATAAAAAAATCATGATAGCACAAAAAGAGCTTAGTAATATGAAATAATTTACAACACTCCTAACCCACTGGGAATTATTTGAAACACCAGTATAAAAGTGTGCCTTAAAAATTAATATTTTACGATGTAAGAGTCTTGCTAACGTTTAATATTTAATTTTGTCCTCAGGAGTATATAATTTGACAATACATATTTCTTCGTTTTTTACCTTAAAAAAGAAACTAATTTCTAAAATGAAAGCAACTTTTGAGTATTTTTTTAATTTGTTTGTAATGTACCTGTGAAACGTTTACATTTTAGGAAACTTATAAGAATTGAAAAAAAAAACTTGATTAACTTCCTCATTGGTCCAGTGCTCGTAAGGCAAGATCAAGTGATTTGCAATTCAAAGGTTTGAATTCCGGGTCGGGCCTAAATCAGTTATTTGTGTTTTCTGTCGAGGAACTCGCAGCCCGGGGTCAGGATGTTAGCGGTGTTTCACGCCCTTCCCTCGGAAAGCATGTAAAGCCATTGGTCCTGCACCAGATCTGTCTCCTGTCCTGTTGGATTTCCATCCCATCGGACTATGAAAGTGACTATGAATAGATCTGCGTTTGTGGACATACTCACGCTCCTTTAGCCTTCTGCGCAGATGGCTGTCACCGTTGAGACTGAGCGTCGTGTTCGAAATTTGGTCTGGAGGACATTATTATAACTATAGCCTAGTCTTAGATTTTAAAATTGTCTATCATACTACAAACAATCTGCTTCTTTAAGTGATGTATTATCACGTCTTACTTTAGAGGTGAAGACTATTTTCATATACTTTATTACCGGACTCCTCGAAAACCGGTTAGTCTAGATATAGGGATCTCCACTATTCCGGCGCTGGTTACAAGCCATCAAATCCTAGCCAAAGCCGTTATATTGTGTGCAAACACACTAATTAGAAAATAGCTTTAACACTGGTTGTCTTGTAATTGTTCTTGTATCTAGTCTAGGATGCAGTATCCTAGACAATGGATAAGTAACCGTCGTAATATGCGGCCTTCCTCATAATCATACTTACTGGATTGCCTTATTGGTCTAATGGCCGTCAACGCGTCTGTTGATCATGAGGTCCTACGTTTGAATCCCGGGTCGGACTAAAAAAATCAGAAAAGTTTTTCTGTCAGAAATTCTCAGACGCAGACCGGAGTTAGGATGTTGACGGTTGGTTAACCCTGTGACTGTAGTTGAATATAGTTTCAAAAATAATTGGCGGACGAATACTACCAAAAACTTATACATAGTTGACATATTATGTTGACGTATTTAATATTACTATTGTTTATATATTATGTTTATTATTATTATTATTTTTGATAAACTGAGTTGTAATTCTAACTTCTTATTCTCTAGTTAAGCGAATACCTGAAAAAACAAATGGCACCAGCTGATGGAGGGGAAATGAGCGAAGATATCAAACAAATGCTCGAAAGCCACGACAAACTAGTCGAGGAGATCTTCCAACACGAAGACAAAGACAAGGACGGCTTTATCAGCCACGAGGAATTCTCCGGGCCGAAGCATGACGAGCTGTAAACGTTTTAATTTTTAAGAGTAACCGCTTTCTAGCTCAAAGACAAAACATTACTTCTGTCCCGCTCTTAACGCGGTAGAAGTGACATTTGTAAGTGCGCATGTGTTCATTATTACTTTTTTAAATTGACTCAATTTACGTATAATTTTAAAAATCGAATTTCTTCTCATTTATATTTTAACATTAAGAAAGCGATACACAAGGAATTTATACTCTAAATTAAATTTTGTTGAAATGTTTGTACTTAGTTGCTCTAAGTTGTTGGTGTATTTATAAGTTTGTTGTAATGCTAAGCTAGATTCCATTACATAATATGTATATTAAATATCACTTCTGCGTTAAATAAAGCCAGATACCACTCTTTTTTCTAAATTTTTATATACATATCTGGTTATCCGGCTTCCCATAAGTTTAAAGTATATTGTATTTGTTAATCTAAACAGTGAAATGGTTTGCAATATTGATGTACTCTTAATTATTTATATGTTATATGTACAGACGTGACTTAACTAATCTGTAATTAAAAATAATAAAATAAAAACAAGTTTGATCATACCGGCATGTTTCATTTGTTCTACAAATTCCTTTTATCCGTACAATATGTAGAACTACTAAAATTATTATGATGGCCCTTACATTTCCCAAAGGCCATAAAAAGTGTAGGGGAGATCGAACTTTAAATTCTCATAATTATGTTATTGAGAAAATTTTCTCAATGTAATGCAAATATTTTGAAGACAGTGTGAGACGTCATTGTGGACTCTAGTCTCTCATAGCCAAAATATTGCGTAAGTAAATCAATGAAAGACTATGGACAATTATTTATTAAGTATATCAATAACTTTAAACATTAATTAGGTGCGAGTAAATAAATTCGACGTTTAAATTTCAATTAGAATAGAATAATTTTTATTTAATTTATTAATAGATTACAGTTCGGAAAAACCTCTTTCCTGGTACGACTCAGCAAATTCCGAGCTTGACTACGTTTCGTAGTAAAATATACTCATGCACCTTAATGCTGTTCTGCGTAGATGGCTAGTCTCCGCTAAGACTAGCCGCCGTGTCCAAAATCTATGTGTTCAATATCTTAGATAATAAAAAAACTCATTAACTGTCATATTTTATTAACTAGTTAAATCTGATTCTATGAGTGGTGTATTATTACGTCTTATTTTGTAGCTAAAGACTATTTTCATATACTATATTACATAACACCTTGATAGCCGTTTAGTCTACTTGGACACCAATAATTTTAGACCTATTTCTGTACTGCCAACGCTCATTAAAATTTTTGAAAAAATTATTCTAGATCAAATGTTAAGTTTTTTTTTTAATGTAAATATTTCTCCATAACAATCAGTTTGGATTTACAAGGGATCGCTCGGCAACTGATGCCGGCGTTGAGCTAATCAAACATATTTTCTGTGCATGGGAAAATTCAGAAGATGCTTTGGGTATATTTTGTAATCTTTCCAAGGCTTTCGACTGTATTCACTATAATACATCAATCAGGAAGCTACATCATTACGGTGCAAAAAACATAGCGCTTAAACTTATTATGTCATATCTAAATAATATAACACAAACAATTGTTATTAATGGATGCAGTTTTTCCGGGTCGGTTGTATCTATGGGTGTTCCTCAGGGTTCAGTTCTTGGTCCCTTTCTGTTCTTAGTTTATATTAATGACTTACCTTACTTGGTTAAGGATAACCATGATATAGTATTATTTGCTGATGATACTTCGTTGATTTTCCGCCTAAAAGGCAATTATTGAAGTATGACGAGGTGAATAATGCTATATCAAAAGTTTAAGGTTAAGGTTAATAATTTGCTTTTGAACAATAATAAAACGAAATGTATTAAATTCACTACACCTAATGTTAAACAGGTGAATACCAATCTGCTTTTAAATGCCTTGTTGAATCCACTGTTTTTCTCGGAATTACAGTTGACACGAAGCTTCAATGGGGCCCTCATATAACTAAAGTAGCTAGCAAGCTTAGTTCTTCAGCATATGCTGTAAAAAAGGTTTGATGCCTTACATGTGTTGAAACAGTTAGATTAGTTTATTTTAGTTATTTCCATAGCATAAATGTCCTATGGATATGTGCTATGGGGTAATGCACTGACATTGAAATAATCTTTGTTTTGCAAAAGTTAGCCTAGGTCTGAAGGAATCCCTTAGAGAAAATTTTAAAGAAATAAATGTATTAACTTTCGGCTCTCAAAATATTTACGAGAATTTAATGTATGTACACAAAAATAGTTTTATTAAAAATATTGATGTACATTCTGTAAATACTAGGAACAAGCACAAGTTAGTTATGCCAGTTACTCGACTCCAAAGAGTCAGTAACTCCTTCATCGGGCAATGTGTACACTTTTACAACAAAGTCCCAGAAAATATGTAGACCTTTTCTTTCAAAAGGAGTAAATTATTTATTAAGAAAAAATTGTCTAGTAAGGGTTATTATACTACTAAAGAGTACATGACTAATAATAACCCCTGGGAATGAGGTGATCACTATCATGCTGTTTCTAAATGTCTTCATAATAATTGTATAAAATATTATATTGTAAATTGTGCTTTTTAAAATAAAGTCCCGCTGGATTTCTTGCTGGTTCTTCCCAGGACATAAGTTTCTTTGCGAACCAGTGGTAAAAGTAAAAAATGACTTTCAATAAGTATTATGTATTATAATCTATATGGAATAAAATGATTCTATTCTATTCTACTCTATTCTAGATGTAGAGCTCTCCGCTAATACGGGGCTGGTTACAAGCCAACAAATCCCAGCCAAAGCCGTTATGTTGTGTGCGGACACACTAATTAGAAAATAATTTTCAAAAATGGTTGTCTTGTAAATGTGCTTGTATTTAGTCTAGGATGCAGTATCCTAAACAATGGTAGGTAACCGTCGTAATAATATGCGGCCTTGCTCATAATCATTGATTATCGCTTACTTACTTACTGGACTGCCTCGTTGATCTAGTGGTAGTAGACACGGCTGCTGATCATGAGGTTCGAATTAGAGGTCAGGCTAAAAAATCAGTTATTGAGTTTTCGTGCATGTAGAAACAATTTATATTACAATGTATAATATAATAAATAGTTAAACTGTTATTTTGTTTTGAAAACCGGTTTTCATACAATTCATTTACTGTAAATCAGCTCGTAAAAGAAAACAGAAACCGGTATTAGTGGGAAAAAGAGAGAACAACTTTAAGCATTTCTTGAATAGAAGACAGTGACAATCCGTGATTAGTGATTATATCTCTTTATAGATTAGAATAACCGCGTAGTTTAGTGGTCAATCTACCTGACTACCAAGTCCGATCCAAAATTTGCAAACAAACAGAAACTGTTAGTTTTGTGGCCTCGTTAAGTTGTCATTGCCAACGCAGCTCTGACACTGTATCTTGGTTAAGGAACCAGGATCGAAGACAGGCCATGGCTTCATCTTACTGCACAAAGTTTTGCCTTATATTTGCGGTTACACTTACTTCTTTATTTATTTCTGCGGGAGTCTACTGCTGGAAATAAGCCTTTCCGAAGGCGCGCCACTAAGCCCGATCTTCGGCTACACGCATCCAGTTTCTAGTAGCTATCTTGCGTAGATTGTCGCTCCATCTGGTCAGGGGGCGTCCCACACTACGTTTGCCTAGACGCAGTCTCCACTCCATTACTTTTTATTTAACTAACTATATTATATAATCCAGCGATTAGTCAATTCAATTTAATGCCCACGCACCGAGACATCACGGACAAGCCAGGGGAAAGTGTCTAGTGTCTACATGAAGCTCTCGGCTCGCGTATATATTCCTTATTTAGATATTTAGTTGCCTGTTAACTGTATTTACATGGGGTTGTGTTACGCTATGTGGTGTAACGAGCGCTAAGCTAATCCAAGTTTTTTGTATGGCTTATTTTTTAAATCTTTACAAAGAAAAAAGCAGCAGTAATGTTCAAGCCCATCATGGTGTTCTCATCATCATCATCCAGTAAGGTGAACGGTGTCCGCAGTTGATATGATACAACGAGCGTTTACACAGGTGGCATGGCCGAGAGCATCAAAAGCATCAAAAGCGAGGAGCAAGGGGCGAGGGGCTCTCGACCAAACCTGTGTAAAGCCGGCATAGTAAAATTCATCACATATTGCTTTCATATGAAGTAATTCAGCTATTTCAATGTTGAATGTAGTTTCGATAAAGAAAAGCAGGCGAAATTATAAAGGAAACTTTAACATAAGTATTGACATATTTAATAAAATGCTATTTTCCTGGTATGTTTTTAGTAATTTGAGTTTATTAAGTATAGTAGACTCTCGATAATTTGAAACTCAAGGGACCAGAGAAAAATTTCGAATTACCAAGAGTTCAAAATAGGAGTTTAGGTAACCAAGGGGTAGGAAAAAATCAAGTAAACTAGAGTTTGATTAAAATTTGTGATTTATTATTTTAAATATTTGTACAATTATTTACAATTTGAAAAGAAATCTCTCTCATTTATGCAAACAATCGACACGTCTGTAGATGTACCTATGTAAACAAACGACAGGTCGACACATCGAGTGTAGGGAAGTATACACCAAATTATTGGCACAGGCCAAATGTTGGCGGGCAAGATACTATTCCTTCAACTTCAAATTACCGAGGGGGCCAATTAATATTGATTTTATTCAATTTCTCAAATATTTTTCAAGCAACCGAGAAAAATTTCAAATTATCGAGACATTTAAATAAACGAGTGTCAAATTATGTCATGTAAATATATTAGAAAACTAAAACTAAACACAAATTATCATACAGTCCTACTCCCCGCGGTATCGTGTCAAGATTGTTGGCTGCATTTCCTATCCTTCTATTTCTATCCTATAATTTAAGTTGTAATTCTTACTTCTCATTCTGTAGGTAAGCGAATACCTGAAAAAACAAATGGAACCAGCTGATGGAGGCGAAATGAGTGAAGATATTAAACAAATGCTCGACAACCAAG